CGACACTTTATAAATAAAGAGAATGAAATACTTTATACAACATTAACGTGAAGAAATACTTACGCCCGTATTATTGAACACCATCTTCCCTTGAAGAGGGTCGTCGTGTTTCAACCCGAGTTTTAAACTAAATGAGTCCTGAGGGACACCGCAGTACAGTACTTAACGGGGTGGTGTGGCGGTAAAATTAACTAATTCCAATAAAATTAATTTATAATATTGGGAAGATGCTGTTTAATAATACGGGCGTTAACCTTTTAGCTTATAGCTGTTTAGTGGATAAGTTACCTGCCTGCTATTCATGATGACCCGCGTTCGATACTCGTAGGTGATTATTGTTCACACACACACACACACACAGCACATGACAGTAATACACTAACCATATGACTCCACTTCCCCCTGCGGTTGATGACGCTTTGTTGACACTCTGATAGTTACGTCATATTGGGGGGATCATATTGGCACCAACCTTGTATATAGAGAGAGTACCATCACATATTGGCTGTTAACCTTTGTGGTGTGTTGGCGTTTGTTGTCCAGGGTAAACAAGGTGATGGGCACGGGTCAGTATTGATGGGTCTCATTGTTTTATATATTGGGGTAACATAAAAGGAGTTCAGGTGCGGAGTACATAAAGAATATATACGGAAATATAGGTATAGAGAGGGGTGGGGGGAGGGGTGGAGGGGGAGGGGGCGGGAGGGGGGAGGTGGGGAGGGGTGGGAGGGGGAGGGGGAGGGGGCGGGAGGGGTGAGTGGGAGGCGGAGGGGGAGGGGAGGGGCGGAGGGGGAGAGGGTGGGGAGGCGGGAGGGGTGGAGGGGAGGGGCGGGGTGGGGGTGAGTGTGGGGAGGGGGCGGAGGTGAGTGGGGAGGGGGTGAGCAAGGGAGGGGGGGTGAGTGTGAGGGGGCGGAGGGGGGTGAGTGTGGGGGAGGGGGCGAGTGTGGGGGAGGGGGGTGAGGGGTGAGTGGAGGGGCGGGAGGGGGTGAGGTGGGAGGGGGTGGAGGGGTGAGCGTGGGGAGGGGGGGTGAGCGGGGGAGGGGGTGAGTGTGGGAGGGGGTGGAGGGGGTGATGTGGGGTGAGGCCTTTGGGAGGGGTGGGAGGGGGTGAGGGGAGGGGCGAGCGTGGGAGGGGGCGGGAGGGGGCGAGCGTGGGGAGGGGGCGAGGAGGGGCGGAGGGGGTGAGTGTGGGAGGGGCGGGAGGGGGTGAGCGGGAGGGGGTGAATGGGTCTTGGGGAGGAGGTTAAGATTGGCCAAGGTAAATTAGATTATTATTGGGTGAGGTACTGGAGTGAATATCCTAATCCATGTAGACTTGAGAGTTGTATATCTTATTTGTTTATTTTCTTAATGTTTAATACTTTTTAAAATAAGTAAATACCATCCTTAAGTCACAGGGATAAAATAAAACAAAGTTTGTATCAAAAAAGAAAACATTTATTATCGTAAAGTTTACCTTACATAATCTACCTTATATAAACAGTGATGAGTGAGACACACAGGTAGTATAGTCGTGGCAGGTGAGGTGGGAGGTCGCTCTTCATAACCCCGTCTGGCTTACTGCTGTACTGGGTGGGTGGGTGGGTGGCTGGGTGGGTTGGAGACTTAACACAACCTTACGTTATGGAACCTCAGTACTTCATCTATAACACTAATTTTGTTTCTTGATGACTATGTGTACTAACCTAGAATACCGTCCCCGTTTAAGGGCTTGTTAACGCATGGCAGTATATAATAACAATAACATTAACCATATTGGAAAGAATTTTAACTTTTTTCCTTTTCAACACAAAAAAAAAAAAATTCTTCCAAAACTTAGAATAAACATTTGATACCTCCGTGACCTTACCTGCAATGACTATAGTACAGTACTTCATTATAGAACAACAAAGGTGACCGATAATTATAGGTCATTGGCTGCGTTAAGTCAACACTAGGACAGGTATCCCTCACGAGAGAGATTAACAACACCCTCAGTCAGGTCAAGAGAGGCGGGTGGGTGGGGGTCTCAGGTTAACTAAATACAGCCAATAATAGTAAAGTTTAAAGACCACTGTATAACTCATCCTCTCGACTGTACAATATTTATTTTCATTTTACATTAATTATTTTTTTGTCTACATTTTTTTCCAAAGAAACACTAATATTTTTTTTACATATGTTACGTAAATTTGTTTTTCATTTATTTACAATTGTTTATTTTCATTGTATTAATTTTTCCTTAAAATAATTCTGGTTGTTTTAATTTTTTTAGTAATATTTTTCTTTATTTTCTTGTTTTTTTTTCAATGTTGTTTTTATAATTTTCAAATAAAGTTGTTGTTCTTGTTTAGTTATTAAATGTTTTCGTCACTTTTTCATTTTTTCGTCACTTTTTTCATTTTTCGTCACTTTTTTCATTTTTCCGTCACTTTTTTCATTCTTTCGTCACTTTTTCATTTTTCGTCACTTTTTTCATTTTTCGTCACTTTTTTCATTTTTTCGTCACTTTTTTAATTTTTTCGTCACTTTTTTCATTTTTTCGTCACTTTTTTTTATTTTTTTCGTCACTTTTTTTTATTTTTTTCGTCACTTTTTAGTTCAGTCACACCAATGTTTATATTATTTAAGTTAATCAATGTTTATTCATTTATTCACATTATTATTTTCTTATCTCTCACGTCATTGTTTATTGTTTATTCTTTGCCTCAGTGTTTTATTATCATTTAACATCATTGTTATTGTTTAAGTTCTCTGTTATTCCTCTATACGTGTTCCTTGTTCTTCACGCATCCATCTACCGGTTAACCAGTCCACTAGTTAACACCCACTATCAGTTAACCAGTCCACCAGTTAACCAGTCCACTAGTTAACACCCACTATCAGTTAACCAATCCACTAGTTTACATCCATTACAAGTTAACCAGTCCACTAGTTAACACCCATTATCAGTTAACCAGTCTACCAGTTAACCAGTCCACTAGTTAACACCCACTATCAGTTAACCAGTTAAAGTCTACCAGTTAACCAGTCCACTAGTTAACATCTACCAGTTAACCAGTCCACTACCAGTTAACCAGTCTACCAGTTAACCAGTCTACCAGTTAACCAGTCCACTAGTTAACATCCACTATCAGTCAACCAGTCCACTAGTTAACATCCACTATCAGTTAACCAATCTACCAGTTAACCAGTCTACCAGTTAACCAGTCTACCAGTTAACCAGTCCACTAGTTAACATCCACTATCAGTCAACCAGTCCACTAGTTAACATCCACTATCAGTTAACCAATCCACCAGTTAACATCCAGTCAACCCATTTACCAACCAGTCTACAATTTACCGATCATTTTAACACCTCTCTTGACTCATTAACAACTAACTAACAACCACCTGTTAATTACCACACCCGGTAATAAATAGCTTACTTAGTATATAGGGGTTAAGTTAATTTTCTCCATTCACAATAAACACCACAATGAGAGGAAAATCCACCAGATGTGTCAGTAGGGAGTGATGGCCGGTGCAGGGAACCAACCGAGGCGGAATGGAACCAGGGGCAGGGTAGAGACGGAGAGAGGGGGAGGGAGAGACGGAGAGAGAGGGGGAGAGAGACGGAGAGGGGGAGGAGGAGAGAGGGAGGAGACGGAGAGAGGAGGGGGGAGGGAGAGGGGAGGTAAGGCAGTCATTAGTAGATATTTTACCGTCTGTAGATCTGAGGAAATATAGGGTGTTCCAGAAATAGGTCCCTCCCTCCCTCCCTCCCTGCTCCCTGCGTTGGAGGAAGAGAGGGAGGCAGGGCCATTTTTCTAGTATATATTTAACACCAACTATAATATAATTTTATACATTATAGAAAATACCAATATAATATGATTCCTAACTATTTATTTAATTTAGAAAAAAATATATACATTTTTTTTCGTTTATTGATAAATAATTAAATGCATAAGTCTATATTAAATCCTAAACGCAATATATTTCCACTTACATTAAAATTTTTACATTATTAAATTATTATTTTTTTGTAATTCATAATATATTGCAGTGTTTATGTGTGGTGTTATTATGTAATATACACGAGAGAGAGAGATAGAGAGAGTGAGAGAGAGAGAGAGAGAGAGAGAGAGAGAGACTGTACCAGCCATTATTAACTCGATTTAATTAACGTGTTGTTATATGTTGTCATAAATAATATTGTCATCAGAGAGAGAATAGATTTTAACGTTATTCATGAGTCGACTAAAATAACACGCAGATGAAGATGTAATTGTAGGTTGTAAATATATGTCGACTGTTATCTGGTCACTGATTGGTTGTGTACAGGTCGCTGATTGGTCGTTGGTTGTGTACAGGTCGCTGATTGGTCGTTGGTTGTGTACAGGTCGCTGATTGGTCGTTGGTTGTGTACAGGTCGCTGATTGGTCGTTGGTTGTGTACAGGTCGCTGATTGGTTGTTGGTTGTGTACAGGTCGCTGATTGGTTGTTGGTTGTTGACTGTTAACTGGTACTCGATTGGCTGTCTGAAGCTTGACTGAAATTTAACTGGTAGCTGATTGGCTTCTGGTGACTGTAGGTGATGGTCGAGGAACTTAACTGTGTGTTGACAGTCTATCTACAGTCAGATAGACAGTCGCAATAAATGACTGACTCTGAGCTGCCAGGTTGATATAAGCAGTCTATTCTGTACAGACTGGTTGTAACTGGATGGTGACTGTTAACTGATGATGTTATTTGACTGACTGTTTTTATTTATATTCTATCAAGATTAACATTTACAGTCTAAATCTCCGGTACACTTCTTGTTAACTGTGAAACTGGTTAACATGTACACCGGTTGTTAACATGTCCACCGGTTGTTAACATGTACTCCGGTTGTTAACATGTACACCGGTTGTTAACATGTCCACCGGTTGTTAACATGTACACCGGTTAACAAAGTGAACCGGTTGTTATCATCAACACACTGGTTATGTATACTCCGATTGCTCGTGAGCCAGTTTGTTAACATGTACACCGGTTGTTAACATGTACTCCGGTTGTTAACATGTACTCCGGTTGTTAACATGTACTCCGGTTGTTAACATGTACTCCGGTTGTTAACATGTACACTGGTTGTTAACATGTACACTGGTTGTTAACATGTACACTGGTTGTTAACATGTCCACCGGTTGTTAACATGTCCACCGGTTGTTAACATGTACTCCGGTTGTTAACATGTACACTGGTTGTTAACATGTACACCGGTTGTTAACATGTACTCCGGTTGTTAACATGTACACTGGTTGTTAACATGTACACCGGTTGTTAACATGTACTCCGGTTGTTAACATGTACACTGGTTGTTAACATGTACTCCGGTTGTTAACATGTACACTGGTTGTTATCATGTACACTGGTTGTTAACATGTACACCGGTTGTTAACATGTACACTGGTTGTTAACATGTACACTGGTTGTTAGCATGTACACTGGTTGTTAACATGTACTCCGGTTGTTAACATGTACACTGGTTGTTAACATGTACACTGGTTGTTAACATGTACACTGGTTATTAACAAGTACACCGGTTTGTAACTGGTATAATACACTATAATTGCCAAGTGGTTGTTAACTGATAGACTGGTCATAGACTGTTTTAACATCTGATGGAAAGGGCTCTAACTGTCAGACTGGTGTAACTGGTAGAATGGGTGGTAATTGGTATTAACAACTTCAACTGTACATTAACTTACCATTGCCGCTTCTTGACATTTAGCTTCGTATAATATTTTAATCTCGAAGTTAATACACATTTTAACTTCGATTTTAACTTCAAATTTAACTTCAATTTTCAACACGGATGTAACCGGTAGACTTGATAACTGGTAGACTGGCTGACTGGGGAACAAACAGTAGTTATTTTTTTATGTGGTAGTTAACTGATGATTTTATTAACTGGTTGTGAATTGTTCCACTGAAAAGAAAATAAATAAAATTATTATATCACATGTTAAATAATTATACTGTATAAATTATTAGGTGCAAATATAATAATAATGATGATAATAATAATAATGATATTAATGATAATAATAATATTAATAATGATAATAATAATGATAATAATATTAATAATGATGATACTAATAATAATAGTAATAATAATAGTAATAATAATGATAATGATAATGATAAATAATAATAATAATAGTAATAATAATAGTAATAATAATAATAGTAATATAATAATAATAATAATAATAATAATAATAATAATAATATAATAATAATAATAATAATAATAATAATAATAATAATAATATAATAATATAATAATAATAATAATAATAATAATAATAATATATAGTGAAATGTGGGTGGCGATCTCCGTAGAGTTTCACCAGTGAGATTTTTTTTCTCTCTCCTTCCCATAAAAACACACACACGAGCCACATAAAAAACGAGTCACACACACACACACACACACACACACACACACACACACACACACACACACACGAGCCACATAACAAACGAGTCACACACACACACACACACACAGACGAACCAAGAGAATTAAGCCTCCTAATTCTTATATATTGCACAGCCTTCACACTAAATCTCCCCCACTCTCTATTGACGCCTCTCTCGGTATTTTTAACCCCCATTTAACTTTTATTGTTTGTATATAATATTTACAATATTTTCCCGGATCATTTCCTCCTGTGAGAATAAATTACTCATTACCGTTCATTATATTTTAAAAACCCTGGTAGAATTTTTTTATTTTTTTTTATCTACGTAATTTTTGGTAACTTTAAATCATAATAATTAAGGGATATAGATTATTATTTTTATTATTATTTTTGTATATAAACCTCCCCTTCTCCTCCCCCCCCTTCACTATATGTAAGGGAGAGGGGGCTTGTATAACCCCTCTACCCCCTACCCTTACCCCACCCCCCTCACACATAAGGTAGGGAGGGAGGGTAGAAGAGGGAGGGAGGGAAGGTAGAAGAGGTAGGGAGGGAGGGTAGAAGAGGGAGGGAGGGAGGTCATATGAGAACCTGCCAGCATAGTGGAAGTTTACATAAATCATATATTATTTATTTATATTTTTATTTCATTTAACCATTTCAACTGTCCAAGACTGTCAGGACTGTCACGGTAACTGAACTGTTGAGGTCTGGGGGAGGAATGGCTCCCCTGACACGCTAACAACGACTGATATGGAATGGTAATAATAACAGTTTGTTGGTAATCTCTGTATATATAGCTTTCTCTCTCTGTTTTTGTCTGTCTGTCTGTCTGTCTGTCTGTCTATCTGTGTCTGTCTGTCTGTGTCTGTCTGTCTGTTTGTTTGTCTGTCTCTTCTCTCTTTTTCTCGCTTTTTCACTTTCGCTTTCATTCTTTTCTTTCGTTTTCTCTCCCTCCACCCTCACCTCTCTCTCGTGTTAACTATAGCTAGGATATCAGGATAGTATTCCTCCACTGAGAGCTATAGGATATTGCTGTTAGATTGCTCCTGAGGCAACGTAGGATTACCCTGAAGGATTCCCTATTAGCCCGATCCTCACAGCGAAGGATTGTACATTACCGTCATAAGGTAGGACTTCATTGGAGATCCTATTATATCATTCAAGGATTCTACATTAATGAAGGATTATTGGATTATTTTGGATTATTTTTAATCCACCTGACTTACCTTCTTAATGAACGATATATAATCCAGATTTAGCCTTAACTTAATTCTAATTGGTTCCTGTGAGTGAGAGGTACCGGCGATCTGGAATTAAAGAAATGTCCCCCAGTTAAAATTAAATCATTGAAAAATACAATGTTTATCTATTTTAAGGAAACAAATTCGCGTATATTTTTTTAGGTTATTTTTTTCTCGATTAAGTGAATAAGATTAGTCTGTGTTTATATAGATTAATAAACATTACACTTATTAAAACAAGTTATATTAAATTCATTGTTTATAGGAGTATGGTACTTTATGAAAATAGTTTATATATATATTGTATCTGTACTGTTAAAATATTTTGTTCTCATTATATTTCCTTGTTAAATTAATTCTGTCTTGACAAATATTATATTAAAAAAAAATTTGATTAACTAACAAACTGTACAGGTAATTCATTCAGGTGTTGTTGTTTTGGTAAAATGCGAGCCATTAACGATAACTACAGGTATCACAATAATGGATATTTGTTTACAAAGTCCTAAATAACTCCGGGTGTTTGTATGAGCCAAAACGAGCAAAGTTGCAACATTACTCACACTCAAGAAAACGTTTCTCAAGGAGCAACTCATAAAACTCACAACGCCTGATAAATAACCGGCTTTTTCGCCTCCACCTGAATGTCTAAGTCACTTTATGGAACTTGTCGCTTCTCATAATGACTAAGTATTATATGTAACCTGACGTAATGTAACCTAACCTAACCTAACCTAACCTAACCTAAAGTAACGTAACCTAGATATATATAGCAATATTATGATACATATTAAGTCAACCTTACATGTATCGTAACATTAGTAATTATATCTAGGTTAAGTTATCACCTTTATGACACGTTCACTACAGGGGATTATCTTTACACCTGTTATCACACCTGTCTCTGTGTGTGAACTTTTCTCAATCAAACTTCATATGAAACTTGACCTGGAAATACGTTTAATATACCAATGGGAACTGTTAATTGTTTCCTCGTGTGGTATTTAGAGACGCGAGATGACATACAGTATCTATTAATGAAACCACAATATATATTTTAACATAAGTGGTGTCAAAGGTCAAGCTCTGAGGAACATTAATCTGGTCGACTCTTACCTTAATGGTGGAGATGAGGAGTTACAGGTGGTGGAGAGGTGGTTCCCTCCCCACTAGGTTGTGTCTAGGTGGTGCCAGGTGGTGCAGGGGCAGACCCACCCACCACACACACCACAACACCGCCCACACTACCATACAAGACCATACGTGGTGGAGGGATAAGGTCGACCATGTTACTGGACAACCTGGTGGGTGGTTGGAGGGTACGTCCGCCCACCACAACGCCGCCCATGCAACCAGGCAGCCTATTAGGTAGTTAAAAGGCATCCCCGCCCACCACACACACCACAGGGCCAACCACGCTACCAGACAGGTGCTGGCAGGGAAGCCGCCTCTGCCTACTGCTCCCTGCATGGCTGCCCGATGTTCACCTGTAGAACACACCTGTCAACATTGGGCTGGTATCTGGCTGAGACATGGTAATGGTGGTGGTACTTTACTGATGACCAGACTGAACGTAAATAACTCCCAAGACTCAGGTTATGATAGATAGTTTAATAGACTGAAAGATAAGTTGAATTATTAACACAAGGGTAAAACTAAGTTACTTTTACAAGGCGATATAGAGCGTCGTGTAGATACGAACATGGGAACTGAATCCTAAGGCACAGAGGAAAGAGTTTGTCTCACAGAACAGCTCCAATATTAACAACACAACTTTTCTTATACAATAAACTAGTGAAAGTAAAACACCAGAATACATAAAGTGTTACGTCAGGTATACAGTGTACAGTAAGGCCTCAGGTAACAGTATACATACAGTATTACGTCAGGTATACAGTGTACATTAAGGCCTCAGGTAACAGTATACATACAGTATTACGTCAGGTATACAGTGTACAGTAAGGCCTCAGGTAACAGTATACATACAGTATTACGTCAGGTATACAGTATACAGTAAGGCCTCAGGTAACAGTATACATACAGTATTACGTCAGGTATACAGTGTACATTAAGGCCTCAGGTAACAGTATACATACAGTATTACGTCAGGTATACAGTGTACATTAAGGCCTCAGGTAACAGTATACATACAGTATTACGTCAGGTATACAGTGTACAGTAAGGCCTCAGGTAACAGTATACATACAGTATTACGTCAGGTATACAGTGTACAGTAAGGCCTCAGGTAACAGTATACATACAGTATTACGTCAGGTATACAGTGTACATTAAGGCCTCAGGTAACAGTATACATACAGTATTACGTCAGGTATACAGTGTACAGTAAGGCCTCAGGTAACAGTATACATACAGTATTACGTCAGGTATACAGTATACAGTAAGGCCTCAGTATACAGAAGTACTCCTGTTGTGTACACATGTACACAGTATAAGGCTGTTGGTGTACACAAGGATGTGTACACCAGGGTCGTCTTGTTGTCTGTCTGTGTGTATGACAGTGTCACTTGACCACACCTGCTGAGTCACCCCCTGGTGGTACAGCCACACCTGCTGAGTCACCCCCTGGTGGTACAGCCACACCTGCTGAGTCACCCCCTGGTGTGGTACGCCACACCTGCTGAGTCACTCCCCTGGTAGAACCACCTGCTGAGTCACCCCCTGGTGGTAGAGAGAGCCACACCTGCTGAATCACCCTGGTAGAGCCACACCTGCTGAGTCACCCCCTGGTGGTAGACACCTGCTGAGTCACTCCCTGGTGGTACAGCCACACCTGCTGAGTCACCCTGGTGGGTACAGTCACACCTGCTGAGTCACTGGTGGCAGAGAGCCACACCCAAGCGAGTCACCCCCTGGTGGTACAGCCACACCCAAGGAGTCACTCCCCTGGTGGTGTACAGCCACACCTGCTGAGTCACCCCCTGGTGGTACAGCCACACCTGCTGAGTCACTCCCCGGTGGTACAGCCACACCTGCTCATCTCAGGTAAAGCCCTCACAATATCTGTCACTTGTGTAAGGGCTCCGCTGAAGGGAGGAGGGCTGTGAGGCTCCACACATTTGCTCGGTAGTGAACGAGCTTGTGCCATCGTGTAGCACGGGAAGAGGCTGGCAGGTGTGCGTCCGTGTGTGCCAGCAGAGGTCTGTGTGTACAGGTCCGTGTACAGCAGGTCCGTGTACAGCAAGTGACCGTGTACAGCAGGTCCAGGTATAGCAGGTCTGTGTACAGCAGGACTGTACAGCAGGACCGTGTACAGCAGGTCCGTGTACAGCAGGTCCGTGTACAGCAGGACCGTGTACAGCAGGACCGTGTACAGCAGGTCCGTGTACAGCAGGTCCGTGTACAGCAGGTCCGTGTACAGCAGGACCGTGTACAGCAGGTCCGTGTACAACAGGGCCGTGTACAGCAGGGCCGTGTACAGCAGGGCCGTGTACAACAGGGCCGTGTACAGCAGGACCGTGTACAGCAGGTCCGTGTACAACAGGGCCGTGTACAGCAGGACCGTGTACAGCAGGTCCGTGTACAGCAGGTCCGTGTACAGCAGGTCTGTGTACAGCAGGACCGTGTACAGCAGGTCCGTGTACAGCAGGTCTCTGTGTACAGCAGGTCCGTGTACAGGCAGGTCCGTGTACAGCAGGTCCGTGTGTACAGCAGGACAGGTACAGCAGGTCCGGGGTGCACAGCAGGCTGGTGTACAGCAGGCCTGTGTACAGCAGGTCCGTGTACAGCAGGTCCGTACAGCAGGTCTGTGTACAGCAGGTCCGTGTACAGTAGGTCTGTGTATAGCAGGTCTGTGGCCAGCAGGACCGTGTACAGCAGGTCCGTGTACAGCAGGTCCGTGTACAGCAGGTCTGTGTACAGCAGACTGTGTACAGCAGGTCCGTGTACAAAGTAGGTCTGTGTAATAGCAGGTCTGTGTACAGCAGGCCTGTGTACAGCAGGTCTGTGTACAATAGCAGGTCCGTGTACAGCAGGTCCGTACAGCAGGTCCAGGAGGACTGTGTGTACAGCAGGCCAGGTACAGCAGGACCGTGTACAGCAGGTCCGTGTACAGCAGGTCTGTGTACAGCAGGACTGCATGCAGGTCCGTGTACAGCATGTCCGTGTACAGCAGGTCCGTGTACAGCAGGTCCGTGTACAGCAGGTCCCGTGTACAGCAGGTCCGTGTACAGCAGGTCCGTGTACAGGTCGTCCGTGTACACTGAACTACCCACCTCTCATATGAGCCACATGTGTTACCTTATATACACAGGTGCAACAACCATAATGTGTCAACAATAACACAACAACATGTGTGTTTCACCCCGACCATCTGTGTGTGTGTGTGTGTGTGTGTGTGTGTCCCAGGAGAGGTGACATTTACTGCCGTGTGAGGCGACTTTTACCACCACAACTCACTAACATTGTCTCTATACTATCAAATGATTCTTCTTCCATCCTGTAGATAGTTTACTAACATGTGAGCACCCAATTGTTTATTTCCAAATGCCACCAGTGTTTACAAGTTGTTTACAAATAACCCATCTATATTTTACAAGTCTGAAAACCTACTATAACAACCCTGTAATAAGTGTGTTTTGTTTACCAGGTAGGCTGCCCAGGTAGCTGTTACAATAAGACAAGTGAGAGACATTAACACTGACAGTACTTGCCACTTTGGGTTCAGAATGAGGTGATTAAACACATTTTCTCTCCGATATTAGCATACAGTATTACCTTGTATATCAGCTATGAACGTAATACACGGTAATACATACATGTACACCAGAAATGAACTTAGCACACACACACACACACACACACACACACACACACACACACACACACACACACACATTCTCTCCCCTTCCTACTCCACATATCAAGAAGCGCTCAACACACTGACCCTTTCGACTCTCACTGACCATCACCACGACCTCATCTGCAAATTTGGTAAGAAGCTTCTACACCATCCCCGACACCGGCTCCTACTACCACCTGAGATCCCTTGTCCGAGAATTGCTGTTCGACACCACAACCGCATCCAGCCCATACGTGCACGAACTGATCGCTATAAGAACAGCCCAGTCCCAACCATTGTAAAAATTATCAATAACTTGTAATAAACCAGTGTATTCACTCCCAGTAAACACTGCTCCCTACACTGTCACTATGTTGAAATGAACTGTAGTTTGAGCTTTTCCCCATCTAGTTATTATATGTCTTATTTGTGTCACTTATGTTACTTGTATATTATTTGTAATTCGTAACCCATTCCCCAAATATGTAACTGTATATTTCAGCCTTCTGGCTGCCAAGCTCTTTCAATAAACCGTTAATTATTATTATTATTATTATTACACACACACACGCACACGGACAGTCATTAGGTCAGGTTGTAATGTGGAACGAAAGAAACAGAAACTAACGTTGCGAAATTTTACTTCTAATACGTGTGTGTGCTTAATAAACAGTCATACATAATACATACATGTACGCATACAGTAATATACATAATATACACATGTACGCATACAGTAATACACATGTACACCGGTCCATGAATAACGCACGAGACTTAATAACACCTGGTGGAAATATTCTAAACTACAGCATGAAAATTAATGTCGAAAAGTTGACCTTAATTATAGATAGAGGCATTAGCCGCTTCCCCCGACGTTGTGATTATACCTGTACGGTCATTAATACACACACACACACACACACACGTACATAGGTAGATACACACAGATAGATACACACACGCCCACACAGAGACTAACCCACACATACAAACACTAACCCACACAAAAACATAGACTGACCCACACACACACAGGTACACACAAATACACATACACAAATACACATACACACAGACTGACCATGGAGGACGTGTACAGTGGTGGTGGCAGGTTCAGCGCCTCGTGGTCGACAGGTATAATTGCCCGCGTCTTGTCTGGTGGCTCTCTGTATGAGGAGGGCAGACCGCGTCACCTCTCCCGCCTCCGTCAGTACACTCACACCTCCCCTGCCTGAGTCATAGTGGATCTCCTGTAGGTGGTGAGGGAGGGGGAGAGAAGGTTATTATCTCCTAGCGGTTGGGGAGATATAAAGAATACAGTGGAGATAATATGGGAGATTATTGTATAGTATCTCCTAGCTGGGGGAGTAAAGAATAGTGGGGTCTCCTAGTTGGGGCGGTAGTAATCAATGAATCTCCTAGTTGGTGAGGTAGTGAACAATAAATCTCCTAGTATTTGAAGAAGATACATGGAGAACATTGTATCTCCTAGTTATGGAGTGAAGAGAGATGATAATAAAGAAGAGAGAGAAGGAGAGAGAAACAGTGAGGGGATGAATGTTATCTTGGAGACGTGAGGGAGAAGATGAAGGAAGTGAGGTATTGGAGACGTGGGAGAAGGAAGTGAGGTATTGGAGACGTGGGAGAAGGAAGGGAGGTATTGGAGACGTGAGAGAAGGAAGTGAGGTATTGGAGACGTGGGAGAAGGAAGTGAGGTATTGGAGACGTCTAAGATTTGATGTCAAGGAGTGGAGCAGTGACAGGTGAGGTAAATCAGATCAGCGAAGGGAGAGAGAGAGAGAGAGAGAGAGAGAGAGAGAGAGAGAGAGAGAGAGAGAGAGACTGATCTGACTTAAACTGATCTTGACTGATCGACTGACTGATATTGACTGGACTGACTGATATTGACTCGATCTAATTGATCTTAATCTGACTGATCGATCTTGACTGACTGACCTGATCTGACTGACTGACTGATCTTAACCGACTGACTGATCTTGACCTACTCCACTTACTGATCTTGACCTACTGACTGACTGACTGACTGACTGACTGACTGTTTAGTAAAAGTTATAACATTGACGACCTGTGTATTTTTTTTTTTTTTTCCATATACTTGTAAATATGTAGTGACTCACCTAGAGGGCGTGGTTGACTCACCTAGAGGGCGTGGTTGACTCACCTAGAGGACGTGGTTGACTCACTTAGGGGGCTTGGCTCATTCACCTAGATGGCGTGGTTGACTCAGGTATAGGGCGTGGATGACTCACCTTGCCTTGATGGAGCCAGGTGAGGGTGTGAGGGGAGCGGGCGTGATACAACACTAAGCAGGTGAGGTTGATTGTTGACCCTGTGTTGACGTGGACATCCCCGCCACCTAGGATCTCTGTCCGAGGTTCTAACGTAAAGAACACAATTAATTAACCTGTATAATATAAATAATCCACACCTGTACATTTATGGGAACAACTAATTAGTACCCCATTTTGTACCTCTATACCTGTGCATCAAGGTGACAACTAGAACCTAAATATCACCTGTTTAGTGCACCTGTAATTTAACGTTAACACCAAGAACATAATTAATTACCTGTATAATATAAGCAAAAACACCTGCACACCTGTATATCTACGGGAACATAACTTAATTAGTACTCTATTATGTAGCTCTATACCTGTGCATCAAGGTGACAACTAATACCTAATTATCAACTGTATAATGTACCTGTAATTTCCTTGGCCCTACTGAAACATACAGGAGAATTTATAGCACTTAATTACCTTTTTTTTTCTCACATAGTCGATACCTTTTGTGTGACTGGTAAAGATATCTCACTTAGGTAACTGGACATTTAGTGAGAAAGTGAGAGAGAGAGATGAAGATAAAGAAAGAGATCCAGTGAAAGTCAGAGAAAGAGGGATAAGGGAATGAAAGATAGAGAGAAAAAAAATTAGATATCGAGCGAAAGGTTAAGAGAAAGCTAGAGAAAGTAAAAGAGAACTAAAAAGAAAGCTGAAGAAATTAAGAGCTAAAAAGACAGAGAGCGTGAGAGATACACAGAGACAGCTAAAGAAAGTGAAAGTGATACCGAAAAAAGATAGAGATTGAAAGCTACAGACAGTGAAAACTAGGGAAAGTTAAAGAGAGTTACAGAGAGAAAGTTAAAGAGTTACAGAGAGAAAGTTAGAGAGTTACAGGGAGAGAAAGTTAGAGAGTTACAGGGAGAGAAAGTTAGAGAGTTACAGAGAGAGAAAGCTAGATAAAGTTAAGGAGAGTTACAGAGAGAGAAAGCTAGATAAAGTTAGAGAGAGTTACAGGGAGAGAAAGCTAGAGAAAGTTAAAGGCAGTGACAGAGAGAGAGAGAAAGCTAGAGAAGGAGATGAAAGAGAAATCAAGATGAGATTCACTGGCAACTGTCCAATTATATGCAGGACGTCGGTGTGACTTGGGCCGACTGGCACCCGTAAAGAGAGAGAGAGAGAGAGAGAGAGCGAGCGAGAGAGCGAGCTTATCTATAATGTATGGGGCTACAAAGAAAGGAGGAGGAGAGTGTTAATGAATAAATGAGAAAGAAAGAGATATAGAGAGAGAGAGAGAACTGAATAAGAAAAACGTAAAAAGAAAGACTCAAGGGAAGATCGACCACGAACACGAAAAGTAACAAAGTTGTAAAAGGAATAAAAAAAAGAGAAAGTGTTGAAGATGATCGTAAAGGAGAGAGAGGGAAAGAGAAAACGACGTAGAGATTCAGGGGGAACTTAACTATTGGAGGAGAAAGAGAGAGAGAGAGAAGAAGAATAAACAGAATAGGTGAATGGAGAAGAAAGACAGACCAGTTGTCATATGTAAGAGAGAAATGTATAGAAAATGCAAGAGAAAAGAAGAAAGATATATAAAAAATGTAAGAAAGGAGAAGAAACCAAAAAAAGAAGATTGGAGGAAAGGAGACAAAGAAACGAAGAGGAAAGTTTAGGTGATGTTGTTTGCGGAAGCAAGTCTTGTAAGGAGACTAAAGAAAACGAGAGAGAGACAAGTTTTAGGGGGAGACTTACCTATAATATGCAGTGTCACAAAATGACTTTTAGGTGGGGTGGTGCCAATCTGACACTCATAGATACCTTGATCCCTCAGTTGCACCGACTTGACCAACAGTACCCAGTCCTCTGTTGATGGCTCGAACATGGCCTGCAACATGATCAACAATGCAACATGATGGATCTCGTATGGTATATTTAGCGACATGATATACAGATAGATAGATAAATGGATAGATGAATAGATAGATAATGAGAGAGCTGCATTATCTAGTTACTTGCTTTAGAGAGAGAGAGAGCGAGAGAGAGAGAGAGAGAGAGGCAGGCAGATAACGAGTGAATTATTACCTGAGTTAATTACCTGATGACGTGAATGTGTGTCATCATGATTCACTTTTCGATTACAGTATTTCAACCTAACCTAAGCTGACCTGACCTCACCTCACCTCATCTCAACTCATCTCCTGTCACCTCACCTAAACATAGATGATAACTAAACATATAAACACAGAGACGGAGATTAAAACCACAAGGACGATTATTAATTATTCCTGTCTCGTGTGTGTTTATTTATCACTGTCCTAACAACACCATTAGGTAATCCATGTGTCATTATAGTTTACACAGCCACGAGTTTAATATGTATCACGATAACACAGTGATACGGGTCCCTCTTATCTCTCTCTCTCTCTCTCTCTCTCTCTCTCTCTCTCTCTCCCTGACGTATTAAAAGTAGGTCAAGGTCACCTCTGCCCTGACCTATACCAGTAATCAGCTGTAAATCTCCAGCCAATGAACTTTATCCTTTAAGTTTGAATTGATCTGACCAAACCTTTCCCCGGGTATTGTTCACGCCGCCAAAGGTCTTCGAGAGAAACACCAAAACGAAAATAAACAAAGTAATATTTTTTGTGTGGTGGAGACTTATCAGTATTTGACTTATTTTACCTTATATTTTGATGGAGAACTTAACAATATTGGACTTATTTTACCTTATATTTTACCTTATATTTTGATGGAGAATTTAACAATATTGGACTTATTTTAGCTTGAGTGGATGTAACTAAACCATTCACACTATACTGAAGCGATATAAAGTGTATTCAAGAGAGGAAGTAGCAACAGAAAACGAGATAAGGATTCTAGGGGTGACTTCAACAATATTCTTACTTATATTCAGTAACAATATTAGTTCTCAGGTATTACTTTAAGACAATAACAAGAATAAAATTTAGCAAGACCATATACAACATTCATTATACAAAAATACATCATACAATTATTATTATTTTTCATTCCTGTCACATTCATACATAAAAAAAAAACACAACTAATTAATATTCAACAAACAGAAACATAAAATACATTTGTTTGTTTAAAAGCCGAGGGAAATTTATCGCTTTTATAACTATTTCAGAAATAAACATTGGAAATCAGTGAGAGTTTAATGTTACGTGTGAGAGAGAGAGAGAGAGAGAGAGAGAGAGAGAGAGCTGGTGGAAAGTTTGTGAGAAAAAAAAGACCCCCAACTTTCGCATTCTGTTATCATATACAAGAACTACCTGTTCACGTTTTGGAAGTCTGTCTCTCTCTCTCTCTCTCTCTTTTGTTCTCTCCTCTCTCTTTCCCTCTCTTTTTTCCTCTCTCCTCTTTGTTCTCGTGGTGCTTGCCCAGGACAGGTTCAGGCTGGTCAATAATGCAACTTGGGTGCGGAAGCATTTATCGTCAGTAGTCAGGTCTGGCAGGTGGAGGCCAATCTCACCAATAGGAATAAACCCGCCAACAGAAATAAACCTGCTAACAGGAACAAACCTGCTCACAGGAACAAACCTCGCTAACAGGAATAAACCCACAATAGAATAAACTCGCTAACAGGAAATAAACTCACTAATAGGAATAAACTCACTAACAGGAATAAACTCGCTAACAGGAATAAACTCACTAACAGGAATAAACTCGCTAACAGGAATAAACTCGCTAACAGGAATAAACTCACTAACAGGAATAAACTCACTAACAGGAATAAACTCGCTAACAGGAATAAACTCGCTAACGGGAAAAAACTCGCTAACAGGAATTAACTCACTAAATAAACTTACTAAATACGAATAAACTCTTTAAACAAACTGAGTAGGTTAGGTTAGGTTTTTCTGGGTACATACACAGTGGAATAAGATAAACACTATTACACTCGTCTCTTATCGTTGTAGATGGTAAATATTATATACGTAAAATGGCGGAAATAAAGTTATAATATATATTTTTTTATGGTTTAAAAATATAGTTCCCGACCCTGGATTTTTTTTCAGGGGCGAGGGGGGGAGGGAGAGGTATAGTGTTGAAATTTGTGGTGTAATATGGGTCGTTGGTGTTGATACGGGTTGACAGGTTGACATAAAATATCTATATAAGTCGTATGTAATAGTTTCTTAACGATTGAGACGCTGTAGAGTAGAAATTGATTCATTCATAACAGCAGGTAGAGAGTGACAGGTAACATGTGTAATCTAAATATTAATTAAATCTCGCTAAAGTCAGCAATACAGGTGATTAGACAGCTCAGGCTATTATCCTTCTCAACCAGGAGGAAAGATGACACCGGGAGTTAACAGGTCAACGGGTTCATCAGGTCACGGGTTCATCAGGTCACGGGTTCATCAGGTCACGGGTTCATCAGGTCATCGTCTGGTCTCAGGGTTGGTGGTGTTATAGGACATCCAGACTCGACTCTCATCCATTCTCAGCCATATGCCGCAGTGAACATCTGGTCTCAGTGTTCGCTCTGACTTACTGGAGACAAATGCTTCACCTCTCACCAATTTAAACGCAATTTTTTCAATGTTTCATCCGACCCATAACACCCGAACTGTCTGTATGTAACGATGGGTGGTTTAATTTTATATTAGGTTTGTTAATTGAGGTCTATTTATGATCCAATTAACCCTTTGTACTGTTAAGCCGACTAGAAATTGAGACTGGGTAGTTCTATGTCATGGTATTAGACAGTTTCACAGACACACAGTAATCCAGTCTATCTTTGAGAATTCTGTTTTCCTGGACGGCTGGAGGTCAAAGGAGCCAGAGGAATATTGTGTCTGCCAATTAATTACTGTACTTTGCTTCAGCAGCAGGAAGAGGAGGGAGGGAAGTGGGGGAGGTAAGAGAGAGAGGCAGATGAGGAGGAGGATGGTGAAGAGGGATAGAGGGAGAGGAGAGGAAGAGGAGGGGAGAGAGTAGAAGTAGGAGATGGTTCCCACTTAAGGAATTAACTGGTCCACTCACCATGTTGATCTCTGGACGGGACATTACATTCCTCTTCTCTTGTTTCAATTTAAGACCCAAGAAAGACGTACGTACACACAGGAGGGGAGGGGGGCGTACACACAGGAGGGGGGGGTCACTTGTTCACCATCCCTAACATCTGATTATGGGCTTAGGAAGGTGTCACCTCCCATATCTTTAGTGCCACTTAGAACCTTCTACCACTTAGAATACCGACTTTAACAATCACTTTGAACGCTACCACTTAAAACGATGCCAACTTAGATCTTAACGCCACTTAAAACGATACCATCTATATCTTTAACTCCACTTTAAACACCATTAACTACCTGACGCTCGAGCTAGTTTAATGGCACTTGTGAGATAAGAATTGTATGCCATTAATTGTGTCTGATGTAAGTGGAACACGGAATCTTATCTCTCACTTAATGGTGCCACTTACACAACAACACCCATATAGCTGCACTAAATGGCCCACTTCCTGTTATAAATTCGGTTTGATTAAATGTATTAGCACGTGCTCCATTATAATAACACTTTAAATGCTAATAATGGCACTAGTTCTATTATTGCTACGACTAAACTTCATGTAATGGTGCCACTTCTATTATAGCGATGATGCCAGTAGAATTAATGGCACGCGTTCCATTATAGCGGGAATTTAAGTACACTTTACGTCTCCCATTCCATTATAGTGGCACTTAAACTGTACTTAATGGCACTCTTTACTTAACAGCTGCAATGTCATTCATTTTATGATTATGGTGGATCAGCTGATGTTTGTTTATTATGGTGGATCAGCTGATGTTTGTTTATTATGGTGGATCAGCTGATGTTTGTTTATTATGGTGGATCAGCTGATGTTTGTTTATTATGGTGGATCAGCTGATGTTTGTTTATTATGATGGATCAGCTGATGTTTGTTTATTATGGTGGAACAGCTGATGTTTGTTTATTATGGTGGATCAGCTGATGTTTGTTTATTATTGTGGATCAGCTGATGTTTGTTTATTATGATGGATCAGCTGATGTTTGTTTATTATGGTGGATCAGCTGATGTTTGTTTATTATGGTGGATCAGCTGATGTTTGTTTATTATGGTGGATCAGCTGATGTTTGTTTATTATGGTGGATCAGCTGATGTTTGTTTATTATGGTGGATCAGCTGATGTTTGTTTATTATGGTGGATCAGCTGTGTTTGTTTATTATGGTGGATCAGCTGATGTTTGTTTATTATGGTGGATCAGCTGGTGTTTGTTTATTATGGTGGATCAGCTGATGTTTGTTTATTATGGTGGATCAGCTGATGTTTGTTTATTATGGTGGATCAGCTGATGTTTGTTTATTATGATGGATCAGCTGATGTTTGTTTATTATGGTGGATCAGCTGATGTTTGTTTATTATGGTGGATCAGCTAATGTTTGTTTATTATGGTGGATCAGCTGATGTTTGTTTATTATGGTGGATCAGCTGATGTTTGTTTATGCACCACTAACCATGCCTCTCAAACATACACCATCACCACCACACAAAAAGCTCTCTTCTTAAGCACCATCATGTTTATAGTGAACTTAATGGTGATCATGTTTATCCCCTGTAGTGAACTTAATGGCGTTTAGCTTGGTTCTAGTGGTACTTTAGAGGTTATTGTGCTGGGTACTCTTATGCCATCTCCTCTGATCGTAGCTGTTATACACGTCATTCGTTATGCGTATTAAGTTAACCTAAAATGAATTGGTATGGTCTTGAGCATCACAAGGGGTATTTCTGTCCCCTCTCTGTCTGTCTTTCTGTCCTCTCTCTGTCTGTCTTTCTGTCTATTGTAGCCCTTTCTCTGTCTGTTTTTTCTACCACATTCTCTTTTTCTCTCTTTCTCTCTATTTTATGTCTAAACTTCATTCTTTTTCACACTCTAAGACAGACAGACAGGCGAACACAGAAAGCCTCTAGGTTAAGATATTTCGTTTTCATAATTTTTCCTGGAGAAATTGTAACTGCCTCCTGTGTCTTCGTCAACTGGTTAAAAGAATGGTGGTAGTGGTGCAAGTGGTGGTGGTAGTGGTGATGTAGGTAGTGGTGATGTAGGTAGTGGTGATGGTGGTAGTGCAGTAGGTGGTGGTGGTGGTGGTGGTAGTGGTGATGCAGGTAGTGGTGATGTAGGTAGGTGAGGTAGGTGATGGTGGTAGTGGTGATGTAGGTAGTGTGAGTGTAGGTAGTGGTGATGGTAGTGGTGATGGTGGTGTAGGTGATGGTAGTGGTGATGTGGTAGTGCAGTAGGGTGGTGGTGGTGGTGGTGGTGGTAGTAGTAATCAATGACTGTTTGTTTACTCTTATTTCTGGATCAGCTATGTTTGTTTACTAATTATCACGGACCAGATGATGTACCTTCCCCCCCCCTCCACACACACTCCACCAGGTTGCCAAATATTCCATGAAGGTAAAAGTACAGTGCAATTAGTTTCACACAAGGGAAGGTCCGGGGCTGAGAGAGAGAGAGAGAGAGAGAGAGAGAGAGAGAGAGAAGAGAGAGAGAGAGAGAGAGAGAAAGAAAGAAGAAAGAAAGAGAGAGAGAGAGAGAGAGAGAGAGAGAGAGAGAGAGAGAGAGAGAGAGAGAGAGAGAGAGAGAGAGAGATACACTCACCTGGAATCTCTGGTCTGTGGTGTAAGTGTATTGGTCGACAGTCAGCAGGTGTAGATCCCTGTGTCTAATCCACGACACCTGTTGGGAGTAGAAAACACTAGAGAACGTTAATTAACATCATATTTAAAGATACCTGAAGGTTAATAATAAGAGAACAAGAAAGAACGAGCTTAAAGAACACTTGAGGATGTAGCAGTTATCTAGAGAACATTAGAGAACAAGAACACAACACCTGTAGGTAGAAAGTGTGTGTGTGTAATATATAGAGAGAGAGAGACACCCCTTGTAGAGAACACCTTCCTCACAACACATATCTGTCTCTTCTCTCACGGTTCTCTCCAGGTCTCCCGCCTCTCACTTCTTCATAATATGTCTCTTATCTCCGTCTCTTCCACTTGCCTGCCCTTCTCATTCTCTTTCTTCTTCTTCTCTTTCTTCTTCTTCTTCTTCTTTCACAGTTTTTCTTTCGATTTTTTGCTGTTTTTATTTGTTGTAAATATTCTCTCTCTCTCTCTCTCTCTCTCTCTCTCTCTCTCTCTCTCTCTCTCTCTCTCTCTCTCTCTCTCCACTTACCGTTTTGTTAGCCCGTTGCAGTACACGACAGCGGAGTGAGGCTGTCCTTCCCTGCACCGAGGACACGTTCCCCGAGTGTGCCATGTCCACCTATACACGGGATGAAACAAGACATTTAGGACACGCATTAAAGTACAGGATTCTGGGACATCTTTAGTGCTTCTTTTCCCTCTGATGTCCAAGTAAATAAGAAGACTAGTTGACTTTAGGATATGCATTACCTTACAGTGACTGGACACGTATTATGTTTAATGTCCCATGTGGATCAGTTGATGTTTGTTTATTATGGTGGATCAGCTGATGTTTGTTTATTATGATGGATCAGCTGATGTTTGTTTATTATGGTGGATCAGCTGATGTTTGTTTATTATGGTGGATCAGCTGATGTTTGTTTATTATGGTGGATCAGCTGATGTTTGTTTATTATGGTGGATCAGCTGATGTTTGTTTATTATGGTGGATCAGCTGATGTTTTGTTTTATATGGTGGATTGATGTTTGTTTATTATGGTGGATCAGCTGATGTTTGTTTATTATGGTGGATCAGCTGATGTTTGTTTATTATGGTGGATCAGCTGATGCATTTATTATGGTGGATCAGCTGATGTTTGTTTATTATGGTGGATCAGCTGATGTTTGTTTATTATGTGGATCAGCTGATGTTTGTTTATTATGGTGGATCAGCTGATGTTTTGTTTATTATAATTGGATCAGCTGATGTTTGTTTATTATGGTGGATCAGCTGATGTTTGTTTATTATGGTGGATCAGCTGATGTTTGTTTATTATGGTGGATCAGCTGATGTTTGTTTATTATGGTGGATCAGCTGGTGTTTGTTTATTATGGTGGATCAGCTGATGTTTGTTTATTATGGTGGATCAGCTGGTGTTTGTTTATTATGGTGGATCAGCTGATGTTTGTTTATTATGGTGGATCAGCTGATGTTTGTTTATTATGGTGGATCAGCTGATGTTTGTTTATTATGGTGGATCAGCTGATGTTTGTTTATTATGGTGGATCAGCTGATGTTTGTTTATTATGGTGGATCAGCTGTTGTTTGTTTATTATGGTGGATCAGTTATCACTCACCCTGGGGCCGTCACGATGAACAACTTGGTCGTCTGGTGGCTGGTGTGGTCGTTCAGTGCCCACACTCGGGGTCGTCCCTTGACCTGTGTCTGTCACGGGGGCCACTGATGACGTCACGACTGGTGGGGAGAGAGAGAGAGAGAGAGAGAGAGAGAGAGAGAGAGAGAGAGAGAGAAATCGTTAGTTCCTCGACGTACGTACATACAGACAGGCAGATGTATGTATAGATAAACACTCACACACATGCGCATACATACATACATACATACATACATACATACATTAAATAAATTTCACAAGCTTTTATAGACAAATTTCTCATTAAAAGAGAAACAAACTCCGTTGTTAGAATGGAAATGAATTAATTTGAATTTATTTGTTCATAAGATTACCTGTATGAGTGTAAGTTTGTAATAGTTATAATTATATGAAGGAGTTTGTGTTTTGTTTTGTAAAGGAGGAGGAGAAGGAGGAGATAGTCTTGGTGTTGGGAACTTGAGTAACGCAATTATACTGTGTGAAAGGTGTAAGGGGGAGGTAGGTGTGAGGGATAAGGTGTGAGGGGGAGGTAAGGGTCTCACTTATACTCTCTCTCTCTCTCTCCTCTCTCTCTCTCACTCACTCACTCACTCACTCACTCACTCACTCACTCACTCACTCACTCACTCACTTACTTAATGAAATTCTCCAAAGTTGACAACCGAAAGAGTCAAATTTAACGCCACTGGTTAAAGAGATTAAGAAACTTGGTGAAACTACTCTCCCCTCTCCCATCCCTCTCCCACCCCACTCACCTCTCCCTCACCCCGCCCTCCCAAATTCCCTCTCCTCCATCATTGCATCACACTTATCCCTCTCTCTTCCTCTTCTTTATCCCGTTTTTTGCCGTCACCTCTCACTCCCTCTCACTCCCTTTCACTTGTCCCTAACTCCTCTTCACCTCTTCTGACTCCACTTCCCTTCATCACCTTCCCTCACCTCCCCTTCCTACCCTCCCCCCATCACCTCCTCACACCCCCCTTCTCTCATCTCTCATTTCCACACCATTAAGTCATTACCAGTAGTGTGAAGGACAGGTAATGCCAGGTAATAAAACTCAATGATTTACCACAACTTATATCCAATATCTTTTTATCACCTACCATAAAATAATTCACACGGGACATACATTTCCTCAAGTTATCTGTCTCAGCCTCAATATGTACTTTATATATGTAGTTAACTTACATATACGTACACCATGTATATATATATATGTACATTCACCCAAATTCCTGTCAGAGAATTCAAGACTCGTGAATCCGAAGCATCTGTGGACTGACTAATGCTTCGGTGTCTACTGTGTCGGGTTCACGAATCTGAATCTCTGAGGGATATTTGTTGGCTGCTGTACGTACGCTACTACCTTACATGGGTGCAGTATTTACTTACACAATGGATATATCTACATGTGAGGGTTTGATAAGTTGGTTTAAAAGGTAATTGGTTGTTTCGCCAAATCGGAATAACATTCTTCTTAGTCGTATTATTATTATTATTATTATTATTATTATTATTATTATTATTATTATTATTATTATTATTATTATTATTACTTTATATGTGGATGACGTCTTGTAGCCAGAGTGTGTGTGTATGTATGTATGTATGTATGTATGTATGTATGTATGTCGTGTGCGTAGGTCAGGGGTCAGGGCTCAGGGCGGCTTACTGCAGTGTTTTGGGTAAAAGATTATAAGATAAATCCCTTCTCTTTAATCTCTGTAATAGATTATCAACTTAAACCCTCTTAAACCTCCTTAAACCTGTTCTTAGTACGAGTGAGTTAGAAATAAAACCCTCCACTTAAATCTTCCTTATACACAACCAAAGTAACTTCCGGGAACCCTTAACCTAACCTAACTTCTCGGAATAAATAGTTACAACACCGTCTCACTTCCTGGTAGAGAGGTCAATAGAGATTCATATGTTGCATTATATATCAATTGCAACTATGTGAAGAGACCTCATCACTGTGCCCATTAAGTAAGAGTTATATATATATTTTGGGTCTTGTGGTAATTGATGTAAAAAGAAATTGGTGAGTGGAAAATTGGTTGAAATTGGTTATGAACTTGATGTAAAATTAGGGATTATTTCTGACTCTTCATCTGTGTGTGGATATTTTCTCGGGTCGTGTTGTTGTCACAGTCTAAGTCACAGTCAGTCACAGCCAGTCAATAACAGCCAGTCACAGCCAGTCATAGCCAGTCAGTTACAGCCAGTCATTTACACTCACAATCACAGTCAGCCACAATCACAGTCAGTCACAATTACAGTCTTTACAGTCACTCTTCCCTTTACACCTCCCGACAGATCTGAAAGAGAGAGAGAGTGTGTGTGTGTGTGTGTGTGTGTGTGTGTGTGTGCGCGTGTGTGTGCGTGTGTGTGTGTGTCATGAGTCCCAAGATGCGACGGGAAGGGAGAAACAGTCTTAGGAGGTGATTTGGACGTTAACAAGCCTTCATCACGCTCGTTAAACCCTATCACGGATGGTCTGAGGAAACACACCAACCCTAGGGGGGGCTAGTTAAGTGACCACACGAGGCAGCTAACATTCAATCATATCTATAAGAGGGGAAAATTATGTTGTTTGAATTCAATAAGTCCCTCTCCTCCATCGTTGTGTAGAAGTCACTGTATTATAAGTGTTTGTTCTCGATGGCTAATTTTGGTAAACACTGTAGGTGAAGGCGTTAATTTATCCCCAGGTGAAAGACACTGAACACAAACACCTGTAAATAACACCACAAAGGCCCTGAGTTGCACGACAGGTTAAGGTGCACGACGGGGTAAACATTATACTCCCCTGCGGTATAATGACACCCTGAAGAGGAGGCAGAAGGAGGAGGAGCTCGGGTTTCCGTGACCGACTACCTCATCGAGCTGAGTGTTAGTAAAGCATCTGAGAGTAGTGGCTGAGGGGCGCCTTCCTTTAGTGGCACCGTCGTGGTTGGTGGTGGTGGTGTGTGTGGAGCCTTTGTCGTCAACTTTTTTTTCATTTTATCGTTCTTCCTGTCTCTCTCTCTCTCTGTCTCTCTCTTTCAATCTGAACCACGACCCAAGTACTACCTTTCCCACTCACTCACTCACTCACTCACACTGCTGGCTCAACAGGAACCTTGGCAGCTTCATCTACGCCTCCTCTCCACATCCTATGATCTTCCGCCAGTTTTCTTCTGCCTGTAGGATATTCTCTCTCTCTCTCTCTCTCCCAGAAGTTGTAGGACCTCGTTTATCATTCTCATATCCCCTTCCTCCTTCCTACCCACCCACCCACCCGCCCTCCCACCCACCCTCCCACTCACCCACCCGCCCTCCCACTCACCCACCCACTCACGACTGCCTTATGAAGTTACGTAGCTCCCACCTTGCCTTTCCTCACTCCCATGTTTATATAAAATTGAAAAACAGAAAAAAAAATTCCAAGAACAAACAGGAAAAAACTTTTATCAAATACCAAAATGAAAGAAAAAAAAATCCAATTGGTTCTAATAAACACTGAAAAAAAAACAAACCCTGACTTCCTTTTACCTACTTAACATGAAGGTGGTAGATTCAGTAGTTCCTCCTCCCCATCAGAACAAACACCAGTGAGATCTACAGACACGGAATCCTACTCAGCCTCCACACACCACAAAGCACCTAATAGCTTCCTGACCATCACTACCGCACCTCAGAGAACTCCCCTCCTCCCCCTCCTCCTCCTCTTCCTCCTTCCCACCACCACCACAACATATCCTGAGGAAGATATCTGCTGGAAAGGTCGCTGGAAGTGGCTTGGCTTCCTGGAGGCCGTTGGATTCATGTGGAATTTAAACCTGGGTTACGCAACAACAAGAAAATCCAGAATTTCAACCGCGACTGTCATTTGTTCATTTGTTTTTTTTTTAACTCTCTGCATGCACTGCCAGTTTAACCATTTATACTTCTCTCTGGAGCTTTCATCATGTCTATATATTTTTTTTTTCTGGTTACGTTTCTGTGGTGATTGTTACTTGTTATTGTGTTCTCAGCCTCGGTGTTTTGTAGAGTAGCTTGTAGTCCCCGGTAGCGTCTCTTGCATAGTCAGCGTCTCTTGCATAGTCCCCAGCAGCGTCTCCATCAGCGTCTCTTGCATAGTCCCCAGCAGCGTCTCTTCCATAGTCCCCAGCAGCGTCTCTTCCATAGTCCCCAGCAGCGTCTCTTGCATAGTCCCCAGCAGCGTCTCTTCCATAGTCCCCAGCAGTGTCTCTTCCATAGTCCCCAGCAGCGTCTCTTCCATAGTCCCCAGCAGCGTCTCTTCCATAGTCCCCAGCAGTGTCTCTTCCATAGTCCCCAGCAGTGTCTCTTCCATAGTCCCCAGCAGCGTCTCTTGCGTCTAAATATTTCTCTTACTGTGTCTTTCCCTAGACTATCTCTTGGTCTTACTCCGTCTCTCACTGATGTCAGGTTCCTCTCTCCTCTTGTGTCCTCTCGGAACCTCTCTTACTTCCATGTTTTTCTTTTTCCTTGTGTTTAGCCGCCAACTGTTTCCTGCTCGCGCTGTGTCCACCACCATGTTGGGTATATAAACTGAGTTCGTCTCCTTTGAGTCTTTTTTACCCCAACATCATCATCTTTCCCGCCACAGCGTCTTGACTCCGACTGTCACTTGTTTTGGCTGTGTTTACCTACGATGTTTTGTTAGTATCGAGCTTATACTTGTCAGTGAGTTTTTCTTTCGTTTATACATTTCTCTCCAAGGAATTGAGAGCCACGGACCACCTCACTTTTTCAATGGGATTTGTTTTTCTGTTCGCTAAGTCTAACCAGAGAGAAGAATGGTTACTGTTCCTTGTATTTAGTCTCCCTGATTTGACTGTCATTTGTTTTCACCGCCTCTTGTCATGGCTGGTTTATCCACTTATACATTCTCTCGAGATGTTTTGTGACTTTTATACTTTTTTCCTCTGTTATGATTTTTTTTAACATTACGTCGGCAGAAAATTTGTGTTATTGTTAAGTAAAGTTAAAATCATTCCTATAACCTTAGTGTTGTGTTATGGTTGTGTTGTGAACATTTATAAAGTCAATGTTTTACACCAATACGTGATGAAACATTTATATGGGTGTCATATATTACCCTAAAGTGTTATATAGGAAGTTGACCTTTGACACCTACCGAGAACGAGGGAGGTCAGGAGGTTAATCAGCGAGGTGAAGGTTCGTGGGGTCATCTTGTCTCACCTGTAAATAAAAAAGGTCAACATTAATCTCATAACAATAATTAACAGACAAATATCCTTCATTACATCAATATACAGTAGTTCGTTATATAGCGTATACATATCGAACGAATCCTAGATATAGCGGACTTTCCTCTCCATACAGTCCGTTAAATAGAGATATCACTGTTTTTATTAACGTGTATATTGTATCTCACCATAACATCATTCAGGCCAAAAATATGTAGCTCACGATTTTTTTCCAATATATATTTTTTATTAATTCCACTAAAAAATAATAATACACACTTACTATTTTTTTTCCAATAATTTTTTTTTTAATAATTCCACCCAAAAAAAAATATTACACAGAGTTATAGAGAAAAAAAGATGGGAATAGTCACTGAAAATTTGTACGGTACAATTATCATCTCATTAATAACCAGGACGTAAAACTTGACCTAATTAACCAAAAATGTTGAAAACGCAGAAATATGAAAAAAAAAAGTTGACCCCTTTTATTCATCTGCTGTTTTATTCATTTTTGGTTCATGAGGATTTATCTTTTAATTAAATTCAAAATGGCCGCCAAAATCATATCGTAATTGTGGTTTTTATTATTTTATTTATTTATTTATTTTTCTCGGGTTTATTTTGTTACAGGTTTTTATTA